GTCCTTCAATTCTAAATGATAGCTTTTCAGGATAGAGTAATCTTGGTTGTAGGTCCTTGCTTTTCATCACTTTGAATATTTCTTGCCAATTCCATCTGGCCTGCAACATATCTGTTGAGAAATCAGTTGACAGTCTTTGGGAGTTACTGCTTTTCTCTTGCTGTTTTTATGATTCTCTCTTTGTCTCTAACCTTTTGCATTTTATTATGATGTGTCTTGGTGTGGGACTCTTTGAGTTCATCTTGTTTGGGACTCTGTGCTTCTTGGACTTGTATGTCTATTTCTTTTACCAGGTTAGGGAAGTCTTCGGTCATCATTTTTATTATTGTTATTATTATTTAATCCTATATTGAGAATATGTTTATATTGATCTTACAGAGAGAAGAAGGGAGAGGCAGAAAGAGAGAGAGAAACATCAATGTGAGAGAGAAACATTGATCAGTTGCCTCCCGTACACACCATTACTGGGTATCGAACCCACTACCTGGGTATGTGCCCTGACCAAGAATTAAACCCGTGACCTTTCCATGTGCCTTGACCGAGAATTGAACTGTCACCTCTTGGTTCATAGGTCTACTCTCAGCCACTGAGCCACACCAGCTGGGCTAGAGACATTTTATTATGACCGGGAGTGGTGGTGGCACTGACATGTGGCGGGTAGAAGCCAGGGATGATGTGAAATATCCCACAATGCACAGGATGGTCCCCTGCCAGGAAGAATGATCAGGCCAAGCATCAGGATGCTGCACCCTGCACTGGTGCCTGTGTCTTGCTTGAAGCAGCCAGCTCTTCAGCCAGCTGATGATTTTCAAGAGACTTAAACCGGACTCCAAAGACCTCAGCCTCACTTTCCTCATCCGGCAAATGGGGATGCTGAAGGCTGCCTTGCCTGTAGTCATTCCACCTCCTGATGGTTGAGCCTCTTTTCCTGGTGTGGGCTGTCCTCGTGGTCTTTCCTCTCTTTCCAGAGCAGCCCATCTGGTTTGCTTTCCTCCGTTTGCCGGATTTCTGTTGTTTCCCATTCCCAGTGCAGCCTTTGGGTCCACAGAGCCACCACCTAAAACCCTGCAGAGCCAAGGAGGCAGAGAAAGAGAGAGAGATGGGGGGAGAATCCACCGCCAGCCCCTCTGAGCACCGTGACTCAGGGTCTCAGTACCCAGTCTGTTTCCTCCCAAGCAGTGTGTGTGGACTTGATTTTATCCCTCCCCACACAGCTCTGCTTCCGAGGTCAGAAACCATGCCTGCCAGTGTGCACAGTGCCTGGCACTCAGAATGCACATGGGGAGTGTGCAGAGGGAGAGCCAGAGGAAGGAAAGGGCCAAGAGATATAGACACAGGGAAGGAAGAGAAGCCAGAAAAGGAAGGGAGGAGGAGGAGGAGTGGTGAGTGAATGTTAAATGCCGAGAGATCTAAACCGAAGAGGGAAGAGCCAGGGTCAAAGGTCGAGTGGAGACTGAGACTTGAGCACCATAAAGACTAGCCCCAGAGGGGGATATGGAGAGGCCTGTAAGGAAAGATGCAAAGGGTGGAGAAAGAAAGGAATGGACATGCGATTAGAGAGAGACAGAGACAGAGAGAGACGGTAAATGGTGAAGCAGAGACAGAGGGCACGCAGAGCCACTGGGAGAAAACCTCTTTGAGGGCTGAACGCTGGATTGCAGGTTCTCCGGTTCCGGAGCTGGAGCAGCGAGGCCGGGAGCTCTGGATGCTGGAGCGGTTTCCATGGAGACGAGGAATGCTCCCGGCAGGAGAGGAAACACGGAACCCCAGGAGGGGAGGGCTGGAGAGAAGGAGGAGGGGCTGACTGGGTTTGTCCTCTCCCCAGGCTCTTTCCTCATTCCTGCCTCTTGCTGGGTGTGTGTGTGTGTGTGTGTGTGTGTGTGTGTGTGTGTATGTGTGTGTATGAGTATGAGTGTGTGTATGTGTGTGTGTGTATGTATGTGTGTGTGTGTGTGTGTGTGTGTGTGAGTGAGTGTGTGTGTGTGTGTGTATGAGTGTGTGTGAGTGAGTGTGTGTGTATGAGTATGAGTGTGTGTGTGGATGTGTGTGTGTGTGTGTGTGTGTGTGTGTGTGGATGGGTGGGAGGCACCGGGCGAAGGGCTGCGTTGAGTCCGCTCCTTTTCTCTCATCTCTCCACCCTGAAGTTCGATTCTCCTCCCCTCTCTGACAGGGACCTGGAGGGTTTTGCAAAGTGTCAGGGACATTTGGGGAGACGAATGCATCAAGCTTTCTCCATAGGCTCCTCCTCTGTTGCCGTCCAGTAAATGCTGAGCACCCCTGGGCTCAGTCCTGAGACTCCTCTTCGAGTTTCCGTTGTGTTCAATCCCAGGGATTTGCACGCCTACAGCACCACTGGTTACATCTCCAGCACTGATCACCCCTCCCCCCCCCAGCTTTCCTCTCCATTTGAGTGTCTAAAGCAGTGGTTCTCAACCTTCCTAATGCTGCGACCCTTTAATACAGTTCCTCATGTTGTGGTGACCCCCAACCATAAAATTATTTTCGTTGCTACTTCATAACTGTAATTTTGCTACTGTTATGAAGCGTAATGTAAATATCTGACATGCAGGATATATAAATTGAACATAATTAAAACATAGTGATTAATCACAAAAACAATATGTAATTATATATGTGTTTTCCGATGGTCTTAGGCGACCCCTGTGAAAGGGTCGTGGTCGCGACCCACAGGTTGAGAACCGCTGGTCTAACGGGTGTCTTCAAACTTGTTGAATTCCTTAACTCACCCAGCTCATTCCTGCCGCAGGGCACTTTGCATTTGCCATCCCCTTGGCAGGAACTCTTTTCCCAGCACTTAGGTGGCCCGGTGTTCCATTGGAGCTGAGCCCCTGTCTGAGGAGGCGAGCATTGCAGAGGGGAGGGAGCCTGCTGGGTGTGTGTGGTCACAGTGCTGTGCTGGAGCCCTGCTTCAGTGTGGAAACAACCTGGGGGCAGGGGGACACTACCAACAGGGACGGGAGGGGAGGCCAGAGGAGGCCAAACGAGAAAAGGGGGAGGAAGGGAGGAGGGTCCCCACTTCGCTGTCAGGCAGGAGTCTGGGGTCTCAGGAGGAAGGTGGCAAAGCTTAGGGCCCCGTCCCTATCCTGGGAACTAGATGGGCCTCGTGGACAGGGGGTAGAACTGACCCCCACCTCCACTTTGTCATTGCTGTCATCTAAAACCCAGGTTAAGGCCCTGGTTGGTTTGGCTCAGTGGATAGAGCATCGGCCTGCAGACTGAAGGGTCCTGGGTTCCATTCCCGTCAAGGGCACATGCCTGGGTTGTGGGCTCCATCCCCAGTAGGGGGCATGCAGGAGGCAGCCAATCAATGATTCTCTCTCATCATTGATGTTTCTATCTCTCTCTCCCTCTCCCTTCCTCTCTGAAATCAATAAAAATATATTTAAAAAATAAAATAAAAATAAAACCCAGGTTAAGCACTCAGTTGGCCAGCACGGAACCTTTGGGTTTCATACACAGTAACCCTGTCGCTGGCGGTACCATCAGACACGAAGATGGCAACATCAAACCACACAGTCTCAGGTCACACGGCAACCAGCACTGCAAGGGGAGGGAGGAGCAGAGGGCACCGCCTCTGGGGCCTTGTTGCCCCTCTCTGAGCCAATTAGTTACCAGAGAAATACAATGTGCTGATTGGCTCACACTTGAGTCCCACTCACTAGGGTCACTAAACTCAGAGGGAGCGGGTGCCCAGCAAGGAATCAGCAGGGACCCATTTTGACTGTTTTTGCTCTTTTTTTTTTTTTTTTTTAAGAGAGGAAGGGAGAGGAGAGAGTGATAGAAACATCAATGATGAGAGAGAATCATTGATCAGCTGCCTCTTGCATGCCCCTCACTGGGGATTGAGCCTGCAACCAGGGCACATGCCCTGACTGGGAATCTAACCGTGACCTCCTGGTTTATAGGTCAATGCTCAACCACTGAGCAACATCGGCTGGGCCAAATGCTTTTTTTCCCCTTTGCCTTGCCCCTCTCCCCTCATCTAAAACCAAGCCCCCTCCTTATTTGCATGATTATTGTTATGATTAGTTTTAATAATAACAGCTAACATTTATGCCGGACTTACTGTGTCAAGCACTTCACATTTACTGCTTGTTGTAATCTTTACGATTACTTGATTGCCATCATTATCCCCATTTTACAGACGAGAAAACTGAAGCTCAAAGGTGACAGAACTGGCTCGAGATCACACATCCTGGAAATAGCTGAGCCAGGATTTGAGCCCCTTAAGGCTTTTGTCTAATGGGTCTCTCTCCCCTCATCCCCCACCTAAAGCGCAAGTTTCATGAGGCTGGAGTCCAAGTACCCTGCCCCTTGCCTAGTCCAGTGCCTGGCACAGAGCAGGTAGGCCTTCAATAGATACTACCTGAGTGAGTCAATGCCTGGCACTGCGCTGTCTTTCAAGCATGACTTCACTTAATCCTCACAACCACCTTGGGAGGTAAGTATTCACTCTGATTCCCGTCACACAGACCAACAGGAGGCACCCCAAAGTCATGGACTGAGTAAGCGAAGGAACTAGGCTCAAACCCCCTGGTTCTCACCCCAGTCTGTTCTCTGAGCACAGTGCTCAACTGTGTGAATGAGGACACACTTCCATATCGTGACGGAAAGGAAAAATCACTCAGTAAACATGTGAATGAACAACCGAAATAAATCAATGGTGCCGAGGATGGGAGAGGGCAAGCATGGCCAAGGTGCTAAGGGAGGCGACCGTGGTTGGTTCTTTTCTCATATTTCCAGGAAGGAGTTGATGTGATGGGGGCAGGAGGGGGCGTTGCGGGTTCCGGAAGCTTCTGCTCTCCTGGGCAGTCGGTCATTCCAGGCCCAGGAGTTTCTGGAACCCGCGGGGACCGGTTAGCAGGCCCTTGGGTTGATGAGCGGAGTGAGGAGGGCTCCCGGGGGTGCTCGGGCTCTGAGGAGTAACCATCCCCTTCTGCCTTCCTTCCCGACCGCGGGGCTGGCCTCGCGCCCCTCAGCTCTGTGCCTCGTGCTGGGCTGCATGATCTTCCCCGACGGCTGGGACGCCGAGACGATCCGGGACATGTGCGGGGCCAAGACCGGCAAGTACTCCCTGGGGGACTGTTCGGTGCGCTGGGCGTACATCCTGGCCATCATCGGCATCCTCAACGCCCTCATCCTCTCCTTCCTCGCCTTCGTGCTGGGCAACCGGCAAACAGACTTGCTTCTGGAGGAGCTCAAGCCCGACAACAAAGGCGAGTGCACGCGTCGGTGGGCAGGGGCGGGCGGGGCGACGTCAAGGTTAACAGCGATGCGAAACTGGGCATGGAACAGGCAGTGCGATCACCTTGAAAACAGGGTGGCTTTATGTCTCAGATCCGAACAGCTCGCGCCTGGGACCCAGCAAAGCCCGCCAGTGGGGTAAGCCCATGAGAAACGGGCAAGAATGCTCTTGGCAGCAGTTTCAAAATAGCAGACAACCAAAAGCAACCTACATGGCTGTGGACAGGAGGCTGGATAGACAAATGGTGATATAGTCACACCACGGAATAGTTCATAACTGAAAATGAATGAACCTCAGTTTATAGTAACAGAATGGGTTCCCGCTGGAAACATACCACTGGGGGGGCGGGGGGGCGCGGTGGAGAATAAAGTTCCAGAAGATGACACAGTGAAATTTATATTGAGCTCAAACACCAAGCACCACTAAGCAATGTAGTTTAAACACACATATATTTATGGTGATATGGGTGTGTGTTTTTTTAAAAAAACAACAACAACAAGGAAACGAGAAATATAAATGGTAGAATGGATGAGGGAAGCCAGGAGCAGATGTGGACAGGGAGGTATATACACATTATTGGTAGAGTTACAGTTCTTGAACAGTGCTTTATACATAGTATATTGCAATTAGAGGCCTGGTGCATGAAATTCATGCAGGGGGGGGGGTGTCCCTAGCCTGGCCTGCACCCTCTCGTAGTCTGGGACCCCTCAGGAGATGTCCGCCTGCTGGCAGTCAGTCAGACATCCCTCTCACAGACCAGGATCCCTCTTGCAGTCCGGGACCCTTCGCCCCTTACCGCTCACCTGCTCGCTGTTCCTTACCACTGAGCTCGCTGCTCCTTAGCACTGCCAGAGAGGCGGGAGAGGCTCCTGCCACTGCCACTGCGCTTGCCAGCTGTGAGCCCAGCTTCTGGCTGAGCAGTGCTCCCCCTGTGGGAGCGCACTGACCACCAGGGGGCAGCTTCTTTGTTGAGCGTCTGCCTCCTGGTGGTCAGTACGCATCATAGCGACCGTTTGGTCGATTTGCAGATCAGGGTTTTATTATATAGGATATGTATATCAGTTAACACTAAAATACAACAAAGAAACAACTTACACCTAAGGCCAGAACCTTAGGGGTTGTCACTGTTGTCAATGCTTATCTGTGTGTCTTCAAACCTGATCTGTCCCTTTACAAAACAGAGAGTAGTGTTAAGTGCTAATATGACATAGCACAGGTATCATCCCAAACAAACCCCCGCCTCAGCTCGATTTCTGTGCTCCACTCTGGAGCATGTTGTAAAGATCTGTCTCTCATTTCATGGAGAATCATCTTTTTATCCAGTGCTTAGCATCATATGAAATAAAGGAACTGTACTTTCTTACCATTCTCCTTTTAGGGGCTCTTAGGGAGACTTCCAGGTTTTTACTATTCCTGGCAATGCTACAATGAACATTTTTGTCTGTGTCTTCTTATACACAAGTGTCTTCTTGGTGTCTTTCCAGAAGTTAAATTGCACACTTACCATTGAAATGACAGTGCCAGATTGTTCTCCACTGGAGGGCCGGTCTTCTGACCCAGGGCCCGCCCTGCCCCCGGAGCAAGGGGAGACACTGCAGGGCTTCGTCGGACAGACCCCCGTCTGCCTGGGTGTGCGTTCTCTGCTGTGAGAAATAGTAGTCATTTTCATAGTCACACCCTTCCGTGAGCTATTAGCCTGAGCTGGGCCTATGTTTAGCACTTTCCATTAATTATATTCATCTCTTGGAATTTCTCATCTATAAAATAGGGCTAATGGTGGTGAAGACTCTCTCATTTGGCGGGAGGTAGTTTGGCCTTGTGGTGGAACCCTTAGACTGTGGAAGCAGATCATCTATATTGGAAGCAGGCTGAGCTAAGAAGTGACTTCGCCTCCGTGAGCCTCAGTTTCCTGCATTCACAAAACGAGTGTGGTGGAAAGTACCACCGTATAGTTTAAACATGCATATCCTTATGGTAACACGGGTTGTCCTGTGAGGAAGAAGGAAAGATTGTGCCTGCAACGGGGCACGTGGTGAACGCTCTGTAAACGCTGCCACTCCGCCCCACTCCCCGTCAGCCGGGCATCATGACCCCCATTTTACAAATGAGAGGTCCAGTCACTTGCTCAAAGCCACCTAAGTGGTGGAGCCAGAATTTGAACCCAGGTCCAAGTCCAAAGACTAAGGTCTGCCCCACTGCCTGCCCCCTTTTCAGCCCTCCCTGGGCTGCTAGTTGCTAACCTAAGCTCTGAGCCTCCTGCCCCTGGATACCCTGATAGCCTGCGGTTTCTGTGGCCTTGGTATGAAGTCAGGGCCTGCCCTCTGGTGGCAGCTTCCAGAAGTGCGGGGCTAAGAAAGCCATCTGCCCTTTCTGGTGTGAGGTGGGCCCACTCGGCGTCCTCTCCTCCCTCCCCAGGCACCCTAATAGCTCAGTGTTAAAAGTGACATCAGTGTCCAGAGATCTCCATCCTCATGAAGAGCTCAAGATGACTGAGCCTCACAGTTCAGTTCTAAGCCAAAGACCTCCGGGACAAAAGTAAAAAATAAAATAAATTGCCGTAATTTCCAGCATTTAGTATGTGCCGAACACTGCGCAGTCCTTGTCTGGGGCTCTTTATGTCTTTCTGACCCTCAGACGCACCTTGTGAAGGAGGCTGTTCTGCCGTCTTGCAGATGAGGAAGTTGGGACTCCTTGAGGTCCACTGGCCTGCTCAGGGCCATCCAGCTAGTCCGAGGCCCCGGTGGGATTTCAGAGCCCGGGCCCCCACCTCACCACTGCCCAGTTTTGCCCTGAGGATGGGCCCAGGGGAGCCCCAATGCCCTGGTGGTCTCTGACTTTCTCCAATTCTCTCTCTCTCTCTCTCTTAGATTTTGTGAGCTCTACAGTAAGCTCCGTGTTGCGACCAGGGGGTGATGTCTCCAGCTGGGGAGTCCTCCCCTGTCCCGTTGCTCACTCACAGGGACCCTGAAGGCCAGGATCACAGCCCAGGAATTGACCTGTCCTCAGTGTGTCCCATCTCTTGCCCTCTCATCCTCCATTGAAGCTCTGGGAAGACCCCAATCTCAGACTGACTTCTCATCTGTTACCCGCCTGCCAGCTCCAGACTTTGAAGAGAGGTGGAGGCTGGGTGCAGCCTGGGGGAGGGGAGAGGCCCTGCAGACCCTGGGAGGGCCTGATTCTGCCCCTCCCTCAACTGACCTAAGGGAGCCGGACATCCCTTGGGGTCTCCTCTCCTCTCCCACCTGGCCGGGGCCCGGCAGTCTCCCGGGGAAGGAGGCACTGGGATTCCAGTGCCCCAGGCTCCCTCGGTCTGGGAGCTTCTGCCTGGTCCCATCTTTGCCTCCTCTGGTCCCTGCCTCCTGCAGAAACTTATTCAAGACACTGCCCCAGGGCAACCGAGCTCTTTCCTTTTTTTTGGCCGATGATGGTACCATCACATCTTTGCAGAGCTCCAGGCGCCACCAGCCTGCTCCCAGCTCTCCTGAAGGAGTCTGAGCTGCACCGAGGGAGAACACAAGGGCCTCCCTGTCTACTGGCGCCCTGTCCAGCCCCGAGTCTGAGAAAGGACACACAGCCCCAGAGGGAACTGGAGACACCGGGACTCCAGGCAGCAAGGGCCAGGGGTGGCTCTGCCTGGGGCTGGCCTGGCCTCTCTGCTGGGACATCGTGCTGCTGACTGGACCCTCAACCCCAGCTTGTTTTGTACAGCACAGACCCTTTGGCCCTGTTGTTAGGGTTGGAGGTTGGGGAGGGGCCTAACTGTGGGGCATCAGGGGAGGTACCGCCCCTCTGCCCCTTCTTGTGCTGCCTGACCCTGGCATTTGCTAAGGGCAGAGACTGTCTTGCCTCTTTGATACTTTTCTGCATAACTTGAACTTGCAGGTCACCTCTGAACAGGGTACCCCCTGTCCCCATCCCCGGGCCTTGTAACCCTGTCCCCACCTCGTCTCCCTCTTTGCCCACCTCTCGCCTTGCGATATGCCCAGGGTCTGCCACCCGATGGGCAGTGCTTGGAGCCGAGGCGTGTGTGTGTGTGTGTGTGTGTGTGTGTGTGTGTGTGTGTGTAAGTATGTGGGGGGGCAGACGAGGAGTCCTCTCTCCCCCTCTCCTCCCACCATGGGGGGCATCTCCCTCCTGCTTGGCGAGAAGCAACTGAGGGAGATTTCAGGTGTTTCTGGACTTCCCTCACGGCCACGTGGACCTGGCGGGAGAGTCACCTCGCTGGGGGCGAGGCAGCCCCTTTCAGGCCCGAGTCCAGGCGGCATGTGGGCTCCTTCCAGTGTGCCTGCTTCTGGCTGCGGGGCCCACTGGAGAGGAGCCTGCGACCCACCATTCTGTTATGTTGGCTCAGCCAAAGGAGGGGAGAAAAGCAGTTAGTGCCATGTATTTGCCAACCTGTGTTCATTTCCACTGGAGTTGGACCTGAGAGGGAGGGTTTCCAAGACAGACAATAGGAATCCTCTGTCCGAATCCCCCATCTGGACCCAACCGGGATCGGATGCTGGATCCTGGTAGGATTCCTGAAACCTGGAGCTCCCCAAGTCCTGACCCTCCCCCTGGGCAAACACCTTCCCCCAGTGCTCTGCCCAGCACTGTGCCCCCTCCTGCTCCTACCAAGCCCTGCACTGCAGCCCCCACTGGCACCTTCCTCAGCAGGCTGCCTGCAGGTGGGGCTGGGCACCAGGGTCCCAGGTGGAAGGGAAGGGGGAGGGAAGCCTTGTGGGAGGGAGGGAGTGGGGGGCAGCTCCAAACCAAAGCCCAGTGTTGGAAGGCTGCAGAGAGAGGGCCTGGAGCAAGTGGTTAGGAATGGGGAGAAGACAGGAGTAGGAGAAAGAATGATACAGGAGGGAGAAGGAGAGGCAGAGACAGAGCAAGGGGGAGAGGGGTGCAGAGAGGTCCAGAAATGGAGAGAGAGGAAGAGTGAACAGAAGGGGGACCCAGAGGGACAGAGAACCTGGGAGAGGGAGGGTAGGGGACTGGAAAGAGGATTAGAGATAGGGAAGGAGGCGTTGGCAAGACAGTGGTGAGAGACCAGACTGGGATGCAGGGAGCAATGGAAGGGAAAGGAGAGGAGGAGGATGAAGGCCACAGGATGCTGAGGAAGAGGGAGCAGCTGCTTCTGTGTGTGCACTGTGCCCGGGGACCACCAACCCGTGTGCCTTGTGGAGAGGTTAGAACCTACCCGCTCAGAGACCAAGGACGGGCCCAGGCGGCCAGCCCTCACATCAGGGGGACAGTCCAGCTGATTTCTGAGCAGGTTATCGCCACTGGAGCGGGTGAGTGGTAGCGAAGAGGGAGGTTTGTTCCCTTTGGGACCATCTGACAGTGTTTCCATGTCACCATCCGCTCAGCCAGCTGCTGCCCTGGCCGAGGAATTTGGGGTTAGGAAAGCAGTGTTGGGTGGGTTGAAGGAACACCAAAGTAACACAGGGAAGGGAAAGAGGTCAGAGTGGGGACCAAACCACAGCTCTGTCCCCGAAGCTTCAGCAGAGGTGGGAGCAGAACGGGTGACAGGTGCTTTAGCCAAGGCCCCAGGGAAGCCAAGAGTGGCCCGGAGGAAGGAAACCATCGTGGCCAGGGGACGCCTGTGGAATGGCCTCCCTGGGGTTTAGCCTTTGGGAGGAGGTGGAAGCAGAGCTGTCTCTCACACTCTTGGTCCCTGAAAGCTGAGCTTTGAGCAGGTCTCTGAGGTGACTGGGTCAGAGGGCCTGGCACTCCCCAGCTTTTTCTGCCCTGAGCTGGGGACTCTTTCAGGACAGGCCAACGTGGCCACCACCTCGACGTGGTTCAGAGCGCTGGTTGATCAAATCCTTCTGGGTCCCTGAGATGTGAAAACTCCTCTTTGGGGACCAGCACCCATGGAGGAAAACATTGATTTCCCGAGGGCGTGAGGAGCATGGGTAGAATCGAGATCCTTGTCACGCCTGGAACAGCCAAGACATTGGGAACTTACAGACAAGGCTGTGGGGAAATTCCATGGACTTCGTTTGAGATTCCTGCCTGGACCCAGGGGAGTGCCCCTTCCCCAGCTTCCAGTGTGGACTGAGAAAGGGAGACCTCTCTTGGGAGAAGCTGGGATGTTCCCAGCACAAGAAACTTCCACAGGCCCCTGCCAGGCTCAGGGCTAGCCTTTGGGTGGGATTGCAGTTTCCCGAGAAAGGAACAAGGGAGCCACAGTCCTTCCCGGAGCTCTGACCAGCAGACCTCAGAGGGCCTGTGCTGTGTGATGTTAGGATAGCTTGGTGTTGTCTACACCCCATTAGTAAGTTTTGTCTGAATGTGTCCTCACTGTTCATTGTCCCACTTGGTAACACTTATTTCGGTCCAGACCCCTTCTGCTGCTGCTGGATTTGAGCTTCAGTACAGGTGGAATGATGTTCAAATAAAGAAACACTTTACATCACCCGTGCTGGCTTCTCTCTCTGCGTCAGCCCCCAGGGGATCAAGAGGGGTGGGATTCAGCCTGACTCTGTGTCGGGTCTGGCTGCACAGTAACAGACCTCTACTGTCGTGGCTTAGCAGGATAGTTTCTGTTCCCATCGCAGGAAGTCGGAGGTAGCCAGACCATGACCAGTGTGGCCCGCGGTGTGATCAGAAACCCAGGCTCCGTCTTCCTCAGAGCCACTTTCATGGCCCAACCTGGCTGCTTGGCCTCCTTGATCCGCATTTCCTTTGAAGACTTCTGGAAATCCCATCGGACTGAGTCACAGAGCACACTAGCTGAAGTGTGGCCTATTAACTGGGCCCATTGCCACCCCAAATAAAATTGAGGTTCTGTTACCCAGGGAAAGGAGAGAACAGATGGAGTGGGCACTGGCAGTCCGCACATGCCTGGTTGCACAGACTTGACTTCGGACTTACGGCAAACAAGACTCCACCTTTTTCTGCCTGTGTGGACTGGGACAAACCCCTTCACCTCTCTCTAAATCCCACTGAATGAATGTGGGCGACAACAGTGATCTTGGGGAAGTTGTAAGGAACAATGAGGGAATGTGTGTGGATTGCTTTGTAGTGTCTGCCACATTGTAACATGCCCCATATGGCAGCTACGTCACCATTTTTGCACTTGGGAATTGTGGGCACTCAGTATAGACTAAGCACTGAAGGAGCAAAAACAGAGACCCTGACTTAATGGCCAGCTGGTTGGGGAAGTGACAGGTAAAAATGTAAAATTTGCGAGGTGCAGGGAATTGTGGGTGCCCTGGGTGGGGACACCTTACTGGCTTTTGGAGGGGTGGGTAGAGCTAGGGAGAGGTTTACTGTAGGATAAATAGGGCTTAGGCAGGCATGGGTCAGGAAAGCCACTCAAGAAAGAAGGCAGGCCCTGCCCAGTCTTACATAGTGGTTAGAGCGTCAGCCCACGGACCGAAGGGGTTGCAGGTTCGATTCCTGGTCAAGGAGGTCAAGGGCACATACCTTGGCTGCAGGTTCGATTCCCAGCCATGATTGGAGCACATGGGGGAGGCAATCGATGTGTCTCACATTGATGTTTCTCTCTCTCTCCAACGCTCCCCCTCCTCCCTCCCTTCCAGTCTCTCTAAAAATCAATAGAAAAAAATATCCTCAGGCAAGGCTTAAAAATAAATAAAAACTATGATAGCTATTTTTTTGTTTTTCTCCCCCCCGCTATCCTTCTTTATCTTGATGATAGCTACTTTAAAAAAAAGAAAAAGAAAGGAAGCATATTGAGGAAAGAGATCGAGGTAAGAAACAGAATGGTCTGTGCAGAGCACTAAATGCTGGTCTGTAAAGTTTGAGGCAGGGAGGGTCAGAGATTAGTCCAGTGGTTCTCAACCTTCTGGCCCTTTAAATACAGTTCCTCATGTTGTGAACCCCAACCATAAAATTATTTTCGTTGCTACTTCATAACTGTAATGTTGCTACTGGTATGAATCGTAACGTAAATATCTGATATGCAGGATGTATTTTCATTGTTACAAATTGAACATAATTGAAGTATAGTGATTAATCACAAAAACAATATGTAATTATATATGTGTTTTCCGATGGTCTTAGGCGACCCCTGTGAAAGGGTTGTTCGACCCCCAAAAGGGTCGCGACCCACAGGTTGAGAACCGCTGGATTAGTCGATTAGTCTGGGGAGACAAAGGCCATATGATGACAAAGCTCCAGATCTGAGAGCAATGGGGAACCATGGAAAGATTTTAAGCAGCAAAGGAACACAATTAGATTAGCATTTCAGAAAAACCACTCTGGTTGCAGTGTTAGGGGGCTGAATTAGAGGGAGACATTTTAATGGAAGGGAAATCAGAAGTCTGGCCTGAAGCAAGGTGGTGGCAGTGTCCCTGAGAGGTAGAAATTCAATATTTAGGAAGTAGACTTGAGGACACTTGGTAACTGATTGTGAGGGTAAGGAGTAGAGAGTGGCATCAGAAGGGCAGTTAACAGTACAGCAGGGGAGCAAAATGAGACATGCTGTGTGAGAAACATGTGGGGCAACCTGGTGCAGTTTTCCAGTAGTTAGCTGACATATGGCTGTGAGAGCTCAAAAGAAAGATCTGGACCAGCAACATGAGCATTCAGGCAATGGTTGGAATGTAAAGCACAGAGGAGCTTGCTCAGGTGACTGTATAGTGTGAAAAGCCATGGGGCCCTGGGACGCTGGAAAACACCAGCCTATAAAGGTCAGAGGAATGGATGTCTAAAAGGAGACGACAATGGGGACACAGATAAAAGGCACCATTAAAAGGAGACGACAATGAAAGAGCCAAGAAAACCGTGAGAATGTATTGTTATGGAACGGAGAAGCTCAACTGGTCAGGTGGAGCAGAGAGGTCAAAATTCGGGTCTGAAAACTGTGCCCACTGGATTTGAGAACAAGGAGGCCACTGTTGCAGAGCATATTCAGAAGAGTGTGAGAAGGAGAAGGAATCTGGGCATCTTTGCTGCAGGTGATGATTATGTCCTTGGGCATGATCTGCCTCTTCAGCATGCCCAACTTGGGATGGTTGCCACGGCTACGGAAAAGCCCAGGCGGTTCTGTCTTGAAGTTAGCAATCCTCTGAGTTTAACCATAATACAGAAGCCATATTCTTTCAGTCATTTCATTCTCCTCTTTGGTTTTCAGTTTCCCTTCCTGGCTCATCTGTTGCCAAGCTTCTGACTGGGCTTTGAAATACTGGCTCGTCTGGGTAAAAAGTCACATTTGCTTAGGCTAGTAATAATATTCTCCTCATTAGTCATTTCCTTTCTCCAGTCTTTTAAGAAATTTTCCTAAATATTTCCTTAGTAGTATATTCATGGTCAAGCATTTCTGCAAAGAACGTAACGACTTTTTCTGCTTCGGAGCTCAGCTTCATGACTTGACCATTGCAGTACAACTGGACTCTCTCTGGAAGAGGCTCATCTGGTGGAGCAAATACAGGACCTTTATGCTCTAGGGATTTCCACTTGGTGCCCTTGGGTAGTGCTCTTCTTCCCACCATTCCCACTTCAGCTGCTTCTCTTCTTCAGCTTCTTTTTCTTGCTATCTGGCTCAGGAACTTTTTAAACTTTATTCTTGGTGTTTTTTTTTCAATTCCCTATCCTCTTCTTCCTCTAGTTTTTGTTTCTTCTTTCTTGATATCCTGTTTTACTTTTCTTGGGTTTATAATCAGCATCCTCCTCATCTGGAGGTCTCCTCAATGGCGTCAGATCCTCTTTAGGTGCAAAGCAGCCGTCACCTTCAGGCTCATCTTTAATTTGTAGTGGCCTCGAGAAGCCATTTTTCTTAATATACTTTTATTGATTTCAGAGAGAAGGGAGAGGGAGAGAGAATCATTGATGGGCTGCCTCCTGCACCTCTCACACTGGGGATCAAGCCTGCAACCCAGGCATATGCCCTGACTGGGAATTGAACCGGGACCTCCTGGTTCATAGGTTGACACTCAAACACTGAGCCACACCGGCTGGGCAGCCATTTTCCTTCTTTACTTTTGTATCCCCGGAGGCTCTAACCTTTTCCTCCTTTCATTTTTATCTGTTTTGATGTTTTTCAGAACTTCCATCTTTGTGCTTGCTTTCCCCCCTTCTCTTTGTGTTTCTCTTCAGAATCTTTATGTTCACTGTTGCTTTGCTTGGACTTCTCAGTCCTCCTCATCCTTCTTGTGCTCTTGGTGCCAGAGTTCCCGATCTTTGTGTTTACTATGAGTCATTCAATTGGGAATCCGCTGCAATCTGGGAATCGCTGTGCAGATGGCCCCCACTCATTTGGGCCAGAGCAGCAAGGGGCAGGCGGCACGGGGTGCAGGGGGGTGAGGGGAGACACAGAAGGTGGGAGGGACATGTGAGGGGCTTAGAGGCCCCCTGAGGTGCGGTAAGCGGGAGCGAATCCCAGCAGTTGTGTAACAGCCTAAGTTCGCATTTCCTTTAATTGTAACTCTTGGTATTTGTTCCCTTGCTTTTTTATCTTTTATCCACATGCTGCGTTGTTTTATTTTTGCCTGTCTTCTATATTTGTCACTTTTTTTTTATAGAGCAGTTTTAGGTTCACAGCAAAATTGAGCAGAAAGTACAGAGATTTCCCAGTCTCCCTGCCTCAAAGGCGCAGTCTTCCATATTATTAATATTCCCCCACAAATATTCCCCTAGCCGGTTTGGCTCAATGGATAGAGCGTTGGCCTGCAGACCAAAGGGTCCCGGGTTCGATTCCGGTCAAGGGCATGTACCTCGGTTGCAGGCTCCTCTCTGGCCTGGGCCCTGGCTGGGAGCATGCAGGAGGCAACCAATTGATGTGATTCTCTCTGTCTCTCCATCTCCCTTCCACACTCTAATCTAAAAATCAATGGAAAAATGTCCTTGGGTGAGGATTAAAAAAAAAATTCCCCCATGGAAGTGGTACATTTGCTACAGTTGATGAACCTACATTGACATTATTTTCACCCCAAATCCACAGTTTGGACAAATGTATAATGACATGTATCATTACAGCATCATTCAAAAACAGTTTCACTATCTGAAAAATCTGTGCTCTGCCCATTCATTTCCTTTCTCCATCTCCTGGCAACCAATCTTTTACTGCCCCAATAGTTTTGCATTTTCTAGAATGTCATCTACAGTCATGCACCACTTCATGACAGCAGTTACACAGTTTTGTCATTGTGCGAACATCATAAAGTGCACTTACACAAACCTAGATGGTATAGCCTACTGCACACCCTGGCTATATGGTGTAGCCTATTGCTCCTAGGCTACAAGCCTATACAGCATGTCACTGCACAAAACAACACAAGATTAAATCAAGCACAACAGAAAATACAATAAAAAATGCAATGAACACAAGATGTATGAGGCTGCTGTTGGTATAGCACAGCATGATGTTTTATGGCAAAGTTCATTTTTATAAGTAGAAAGAGTACACTCTAAAATAACAATAAACATACAGTAAATACATAAACCTGTACCACAGTCATTTATTATTATTAACAAGTATGTACTGTTCATAGGATAGTGTGTGCTATACTTTTACACTATTGACAGTGCAGTGGGTTTGTTAACACCTGCACCGGCACAAACGCATGAGTACTGCATTACTTTATAGTGTTAGGACAGCCACCATGTCACTAGGCAATACAAAATTTTCAGCTTCATTAGAATCTTATGAAACCACCATTGTATATGTGGACCATCATTAACTAAAATGTCATTTAAAAAAAATATTTTTATTTTTATTGATTTCAGAGAGGAAGGGAGAGATAGAAACATCAGTTGATCAGCTGCCTCCTGCATGCCCCCTACTGGGTATTGAGCTGCAACCCAGGTATGTGCCCTTGACTGGAATTGAATCCAGGACCCTTCATTCCGCAGGCCCATGCTTTACCCACTGAGCCAAACCAGCTAGGGCAAGTTGAGACTTTTTACTGTATCTGTTGACTGTCTCTGTCTTCTTCGGAAAAATGTCTGTTCATATCCTCTATCAATTTTAAATTGAAAAATTTTTTGCTGAGTAGTATGAGTTTTTATATATTTTGGATATTAACCCTTTATCATCAGATATGTGATTTGCAAGCATTTTCTCCCATTCCATAGGTTGCCTTTTCATTTTGTTGAGTTTCATTTGCTGTGCAGCTTTTTAGTTTGATGTAGTCTCACTTGTTTATTTTTGCTTGTTTCCTTTGCCTTTGATGAAAAATTCACAAAATCAGCACCAAGACTGGTGTCACAGAGCTTACCACCTAGGTTTTCTTCTAGGAGTTTTATGGTTTCAGTCCTTAATCCATTTTGAGTTAATTTTTGTATGTGGTGTTAGATAAGTGGCCCAGCCTTATTCTGCATGTGGCAGTCCAGTTTTTCCAGCACCATTGTATATTCTTAGCACTTTTGTCAAAAATTAATTGACCAAAGTGCTTGCTTTGGCAGCACATATACTAAAACTAGAGGCCCAGGGCACGAAATTTGTGAACTCAGGGGGGAGGGGGAGGTGATGGGCCCTCAGCCCAGCCTGCACCCTCTGGTAGTCCGTGAGCCCTTGGGGGATGTCTGACTGATGGCTTAGGCCTGCTCCAACCGGGGAGTGGGCCTAAGCCATTAGTTGGACATCCTTAGTGCTGCCATGGAGGTGGGAGAGGTTCCCACCACTGCCACTGTGCTTGTCAGCTGTGAGCTGGCTCAGGGCTTCTGGCTGAGCGGTGCTCCCCCTGTGGGAGCGCAATGACCACCAGGGGGCAGCTCCTGCATTGAACATCTGCCCCCTGGTGGCCAGTGCATGTCATAGTGACTGGTCATTCCACCATTCAGTCGATTTGCATATTAGCCTTTTATTATATAAGATTGGAACGATACAGAGAAGATTAGCATGGTCCCTGCGCAAGGATGACACACAAATTCATGAAGCACTCCCCTCTCCCCCAATTAATTGACCACGTATGCATGGGTTTATTTCTGGGCTCTCTATTCTGTTGTACTGATCTATGTGTCTGTTTTTAAGCCAATGCCATACTGTTTTGATTACTATAGCTCTATAATATAGCTTTTGTTCTATTTCTGTAAAGAAAATGACAAATCTTGATAGGATTGCATTGAATCTGTAGATTGCTTTAGATTGTTTTATTGTTGGGTTTTAAGAGTTCTTTATCAGATATATCTTTTGCAAATATTTTCTTCTAGTCTATGGTTTATCTTCTCATTTTCTTGATAGTGTCTTCTGCAGAATTTTAACCAAGTCCAGCTTATCAATTATCTTTCATGGATGATGGCTTTAGTGTTGCAACTAAAAAGTCATTGTCAAACTCAAGGTTTTTTAAGATTTTCTTCTGTTTTCTGGGTGTTTCATAGTTTCGTTTTTTTACATTTAGGTCTATGATCCATTTTGTTAAATTTTGTGAAGGATGTCTGTATTGCCTCTGCTTGTGAAATATCAGCTATGTTTGTATGAGTCAATTTCTGGGCATTGTATCCTGTTCCATTGATCTCTTTCTGTTCTTATTTCAATACTACACTGTCTTGATTACTGTAGCTTTATATTAATTATTGAAGTCAGACAGTGTTAGTCCTGACTTTGCTCTTTTTTTTTTTAATATTGTATTGGACTGATATCCTAACAATGAGTCTTCCTATCCATGACCATGGAATATCCGTTTATTTAGTTCTTCTTTCATCAGTTTTGTAGTTTTCCCCCATAGAGTTCTTGTACATACTTTGTTAGATTTGTTTACTTCTTTTGGGTGCTAATGTAAATGTTGTAATTCTCAAATTCCATTTGTTGGTATATAGAAAAGTGGTTGACATTTGTATATTAACCTTGTATTCTACAACCTGCTATTAGCACGCTAGTTGTACAAGGTTTTTTAATTCTTTTGGATTTCCTACAAGACAAATAGGTCACTTGTGAACAAAGCCAGTTTCATTTCTTCCTTCCCAATCTGTGTAGTTATTTCCCTTTCTTGTTCTGTTGCATTAGCAAGGACTTCCAATACAAATGTTGTAAGAGAGTGAACATTCTTGCCTCATTCCTGGTCTTAGTGTCAAAGCTTCTAGTCTCTCTTGATTAAGTAGGATATTAGCTATAGGTTTTTTTGTAGTGACTCTTTATCAGGTTGGGACTCCTTCCTAGTTTTGGAGATGTGCCACTTTATCTACATGTCTTTATTGTCTGTGGGGATATTATTCTGCATTCTTTGGCATTTGACTTTGATCCTTTCTGTTAAGCATGTTTATGTTAGTTCTTCATTTTTAAGGAAACACGATTTATGAGTTTTTCTAGTTTCAAGTTTCTACAGTACTTTTTGTGTGTAAAATATTAAAATATGAAATGTACAAAAAAACAGCTGTTTGAACTCAGCACAGAATAGGACTTTATAACTGTTTCTTTTAGGAGTTAATAAATATTTAATAAATATATTAAATAACTTATTCCCAGGAAGAAAATACATCCTGGATCTAATGGAAAAATCCTAGTTTCACTCTATTCAGTGAATGTGATCCCCCAACCCTATCTCTATTTTGACTGTCCTGATAAATTTAGATTCTGTTAAGAGTATCTTTCAATGTGGAGCTCTGTCCGTGGGGGCTTTGCTGGTTAGAAGTTTTTTGAGCTCAGACTGATCCAGCCCCTTGGCTTAAAACCAAGCTTCCTTGGTACCCACTGCAAACCTCTCCCAATTTTGGCTGTAGTTCTCAAATTGACTCACTGAACTTCCAAGTGAGAACTTGTTCTGGAGTTGAGATGCATCAGATGCTCCATTGCTTCTTCTGGAACAGGTGATACCATGAAAGTCTTGTGGCTATTGGTGGTTTATTTCTACATACCTTATTTTGGGGCTCATGGGGGATACTTAGTTTTCCTGTAATGTTGCCCAAGGTTTTGTTTTGCTACCATGGCCGCTCTGTGCACTTTTATTAAGGATTTGAGAAATATTCAAAACAATATTATCTCAGAATCACTTCCAGGTTAAGTTCTGAAAATAGAAACAGGTAAAAGTTAAAGGGGAACACCATCTTCTTCAATGACTATGTTTTTCTCTAAGGTGTTGTCTTTATCAACCTTGAGCACAGGGTATATATATATTAAGAACTTTGGCAAAACCCCTCTCATCTCCCTGAGCTTCACAGAAGATTAAAGAGGCTGTCCCAGCTCTGGTTGATGACCTTATACTAGCAATATATGTAGTTTCAAAACAAATGGACCACTTCATTTGGACAATGGTGTACTTTTTTTCTTCAGGGTGACCCTGACACTGATGCCCCCGGGCCAAAAAGGCCTGACTGCTGTTTACAAGGTAGAAAAGGGTACGACATACTTTTTCAGCTAGTTAAGTGACTTCTAGGCACAGATTCATAGCATTTCTCTATTTTTTCCTGGATAAACTGCAAAATTTCCAAAACTGTCAGTTTGGATCTGCCATTTAGAAGAGACACATCTTGGACAAGTTGTATTTTTTAAAATTCATTAACAACTTATAAAACAGAGATAATACCTACCTTATACATTAAGTCTGAATGAGCTAGCCGATGGCATAAATGGAAGAGGAGTCTGACAAACTGGAAAGCCATAAATAAGATGCACCATTGCACTAGTTTAATACTGTTCAGCTTCTTACATTTATACCATATCAAAACCACAGTACCTAGTAATAGAGTAGGTACTTGATAACAATAGCAAACATACTAATTCCTAATAGGCATGCCTGGCACGCAGTAGGGATTTAGTAAATAATTATGGAACAGAACCTTCCAATTCTGGCAATAATCAGATGAGCTTAAGTCCTGTGGTATAGCTGGAATATTGAACCAGGTCTCAATTTCCCATCTTTAATTTCTAGCATCTTGCCCTAACCGGTTTGGCTCAGGGGATAGAGCGTCAGCCTGCGGACTGAAGGGTCCCAGGTTCGATTCCGGTCAGGGGCATGTGCCTTGGTTGTGGGCATATCCCCAGTGGGAGGTGTGCAGGAGGCAGCTGATCGGTGTTTCTCTCTCATCGATGTTTCTGACTCTCTCTTCCTCTCTGTAAAAAATTCAATAAAATATATTAAAAAAAAAATTCTAGCATCTGACTTGCTTCCTTCTCAGAATTATGAGACCAAATAAGACACTATATATGGCCCAGCTAGAGTGGCTCAGTAGTTGAGCGTTGACCTATGAATCAGGAGGTCATGGTTGGATTCCAGGTCAGGGTACATGCCTGGGTTGAAGCCTCCATCCCCAGTAGGGGGCATGTGGGAGGCAGATCAATGATTATCTCTCATTATTGATGTTTCTATCTCTATTTCTCTTTCCCTCTCCCTTCCTCTCTGAAATCAATAAAAATATATTTTTAAAAAGAACTACAGTCCTAGCCAGTTTGGCTCAGTGGATAGTGTCGGCCTGGGAACCGAAGGGTCCCGGGTTCAATTCTGGTCAAGGGCACATCCCCGGGTTGTGGGCTCGATCCCCAGTAGGGGGCGTCCAGGAAGCAGCCAATCAATGATTCTCTCTCATAATTGATGTTTCTATCTCTCTCCCTCTCCCTTCCTCTGTGAAATCAATAAAAAAAAATATATATATATTTTAAAAAGGCACTATATATGGAAATACTTTTTTATTTTTTATATTAAATCTTTATTGTTCAGATTATTACATTTGTTCCTCTTTTTCCCCCCCATAACTCCCCTCCTTCCAGCTCCCACCCCACCCTCCGCCCTCACTCCCCACCCACTGTCCTCATCCATAGGTGCACGATTTTTGTCCAGTCTCTTCCCGCATCTCCCACACCCCTTTCCCCCCCAAGAATAGTCAGTCCATTCCCTTTCTATGTCCCTGATTCTATTATAATCACCAGTTCATTCTGTACATCAGGTTATTTATTCACTTGATTCTTAGATTCACTTGTTGAAAGATGCATATTTGTTGTTCATAATTTGTATCTTTACCTTTTTCTTCTTCTTCCTCTTCTTAAAGGATACCTTTCAGCATTTCATATAATACTGGTTTGGTGGTGATGAACTCCTTTAGCTTTTCCTTATCTGTGAAGCTCTTTACCTGACCTTCAATTCTGAATGATAGCTTTGCTGGATAAAGTAATCTTGGTTGTAGGTTCTTGCTATTCATCACTTTGAATATTTCTTGCCACTCCCTTCTGGCCTGCAAAGTTCCTGTTGAGAAATCAGCTGACAGTCGTATGGGTATTCCCTTGTAGGTAACTGAGTTTCTTTCTCTTGCTGCTTTTAAGATTCTCTCTTTGTCTTTTGCTCTTGGCATTTTAATTATGATGTGTCTTGGTGTGGTCCTCTTTGGATTCCTTTTGTTTGGGGTTCTCTGCGCTTCCTGGACCTGTAAGTCTATTTCTTTCACCAGGTGGGGGAAGTTTTCTGTCATTATTTCTTGAAATAGGTTTTCAATATCTTGCTCTCTCTCATCTTCTGGTACCCCTATAATTCTGATGTTGGTACGTTTGAAGCTGTCCCAGAGGCTCCTTACACTATCTTCGTATTTTTGGGTTCTTTTTTCATTTTGCTTTTCTGGTTGGGTGTTTCTCGCTTCTTCGCATTTCAAATCTTTGACTTGATTCTTGCGCTCCTCTGGTCTGCTGTTGGGAGTCTGTATAATATTCTTTATTTCAGTCAGTGTATGCTTACTTTCTAGATGGTCCTTTATCACACCATCGAGGGTCTCATTAGATTTCCTGTACATCTCATCAAGTTTATCGACAGACTCTAGAAGCCTCTTGAGAGACCTCAAAAGTGTGGTTCTGAACTCAATATCCTCCCTTGATAGTTTTGTCCTGTTTCTTTGTCTCCGCATTTTTTACGCTTTTTTGGTACACCCCCTAGTGGTCTTTGTGCGCAGTCTTGTTGTAGTTAAGCCTTGATTGTTGTAGTTAATACTAGAGGGATTTGACCTCCAGGCCGACTGGCTGTGATTGGAAATACTT